CTTTCCCTAGCCTCTTCATGCTTTATAGATGATAGACGTTTAATCAAGTTTGAGTGTTTGGGTTACTCTCACAAAGAGGATACATATATGTTCTACACTCTCTAAGGTCTCCTTCCTAAGATACACTTGGAACACCTTAGGCTACAGAGATGAATATAATGATACATTGTAGATTTGACTATGAAGAATAGATCTCTAATTTCTCTATTTTTCTTTCGGGCTTGATATTACTTTTGGTGCTTAATGCTAAAAGCCCAGGGCAATGCCTATAGTCATTCTTTGGTTGCTCCTTGCCAACCTTTTTGGGTTTGAGGTTATTGCATATTTATAGGCTTATAAAACTTGCCCGTTGCATATGTCCGTTAAAGCTAATATAGTCGTTCATGACCAATTTGATCCTTTATTTAATGCTCAAGATCTTGCATTAATTGTTGCTTCCTATCTTTAAACATTGCGTGTATTCTTCTCTGTCCTGTTAGCAGCAATGTTTGACTTTATCTGAGACATAGGAATTGTTTGTCTTTTTCTGGTAATGCAGCAATATATCCATTGTCCTTATCTGAAAAATTAACGCACTTTTTCTAACACATGCATGCTTTCTATTTTAACCCGTTTCTCTTCTCCTTCTTTCTTTCCTTTAAAGTTGAGAGCTTCTTGTATGATTGTGGATGATGTCTGAGTTTTCCTCTAAGATATGATTCTATTCTTCATGATAAGTTTTGTCTGAGTATTGATGCATTGACTTCTCCTTTAGTCTAGTCAACTCTGTAGATAGACTTTGTTTCCGTCTGAGTTCTTCTTTGGTTTGTTCTATATACACTTGGAACACCTTAGGCTACAGAGATGAATATAATGATACATTGTAGATTTGACTATGAAGAATAGATCTCTAATTTCTCTATTTTTCTTTCGGGCTTGATATTACTTTTGGTGCTTAATTCTGCGTCAGGAAAACATTTAGGTGTTCGTCGGGGTCGGAAGTTCCGTCATATTTCTCAATTGGGAGGTTTTTCCAATGATCCATGAGGGTTGTTTCCATTATTCTCCGTGAAAAGGGATGTCTTAGGGAATGGACGGTGGTTTCGGCCCTATTGGCTATCAATGAGGTGCTCGGTATTCGAGTTACCGGCTCAGTCGGGGCGTGATAGGCAGATTCTTCCACGGCTGTGGGGGTGGACGGCACACAAGTTTGGTTCAGGTTCCGGAGTTCGGCATTCTGCCGCCGTAACTCGGCTAGCTCCCGGGCGTCGGCTTCTCTTTGCCTGCGTATGGTGGCCATTTCTTCCCGCAACGCGCGGAGGTCGTCTTGTAAATTTGGTTGGGTTTGATCAGTATTCGGCTGGACCTGCTGTATCACGGGTTCCGGTTGAGTTTGGGGCATTCCGTACGGGTAACGCTCTTGGTTAGTCATGGCGGGATTGGCTTCGGTATTAACGTTGTGAGTCGGTTGGGTCATTGTTGATTGTCCTTTGCGGGTCACTACCATATCTCGGTCTCAGTCGTAGAGTTAAGAAAGGGGCTGAAAACGTCTCTTCGGCCCCACGGTGGGCGCCAAATGTTCCTGTGTTAGGATACACACTCCAATTATCCTTGTTGTAGTAGGTCGGGTCTTGGGTCTCGGTCTTCTCGTTCAATCCGGGCGGTCCGAAGCGAGAGGGGGGGGTGCCTGCAAAGACACTCCAACGCTCAAGTAAGTACTCGGCGTAATAAATGCGGTAGGTCAAAAGTAGTTGCGTACCTCTCAGGAGTTCTATTTATAGGTGTTCGTGTTGGGCCGTGATTATGGGTTGGGCCCCGGGAAATTAGGGGACTGATCCGAAATTTATGCTAATTAATTTACTTGTAATTAAGCCTGGTAATGACGTTGACCTTAGCCGACCGTACTGACAAGTTCCGTACGTTCGTGTGGGGTCGGCGGTGTCGGGTACTCGGCGGGTTCGGGTACGCAAAGCGTTCGGATTGCTCGTCCTGTTCGGCACCATACGGTATACAAACAAAGGTCGGTTGAATTGTGAGAAGATATAAATCCTTTGTTTACTTGGAAGAACTCTACAATTTTATAAGTATAAATAGTAGTCATAATACTGTGAGTAAAAATTAATCTCTTATAGATACATTGGGAGATACAACATGACATGAAGAAAAAAAAAATGCATTGCACAAAACACTATAATACATGACATGATAATAACTTATTCAATTGTTATTCCAAAAATTAACTGTAACAAAAACACTTATATTTGCTCGTAGCAATTCTAACAAATAATTAGTTGCTGCTGCGGGCTGAATAAATCGTCTGCATGATGGTGAGAATCAGAAGCACAGTAGCTGCTAGCACTCCCACTAATTTCCACACTGTGGATATATGATCACGTATCAAAATTTTGTACCAGTTTATCCCATAGTAAACAATGATCTGAAAAGCATGTCTGCACAAGTGCCAAATGACTATAGGCAACCATTGCAACGCTGTTGCGACTTTCCTCTCTCGATACATGTTCAACTCTGAACAAATTTCGCCATAGCTCGAATCCATGTGCTCCGCGCCCTTGGATATCGTGAGAAATAGTTTCAGCAAATCTTCTTTGCTCTTCCCTGACTCGTTCACTATAACCTTCTTCTCCTCAAGTAGTTCAATGTCGTGCTTGCAACATATCAAACCTCGGAAGAACAAGGCATACGATGTAAACTTGCATCTGATGCTAATTTTGCTCTGCTCCCACGCAATCAAATTCCTCCACTTCACTTCTGTTGTCTCTTTGATTTGAAGCGTCGGGATTTCCAGCTTGTTATGGTTGAATTTTATGTCAAAGTTGAACCTGTTGTTGAGAACATGTATAAATATTTTTAGTTTGAATAAATAAAGATAATTTAGTTTTTAAGAAGTTTGTATTGTTTTGAATTTTTACAACATTGTTTAGCTTAAAGATAAGAATGTTATTCTTATCATTTAAGTGTAAGATAGCATCAAATTGATTTTAAGATTTCTGGGGTGTGCTGAGGGAGTTTTGGTATCTTTTCCACTAAGGAGAAATTATTAAGTGGTTTCACCCAATATGGCCTCTAATTAAATCTTTAGATAACATGTTATTAATTTCTTCTCATAAATTTAGAAATTTAAATTAATACATGTCTATAGTAATTGACCAGGACTATGGACAAATAGTGATTTTCAACTATCTAATAATTTCCTCCCATTAGTATCTATTTTTAAAAACATGACTAAGATTACACATCTTACACTTGTGTCAACACATTGTTGGTTGTTAGTAAGTGGGACATCAAAAGTCTCAACACATTGGGAGGAATTATCACGATGTCCTAGATTACATTATTCTTAATTAGTCTATACATAAAATATTATTAGATAGTCTAAGATTACTAGGTATCTATGGTCCTAGTCAAAATTGAATATCGAAAAAATAGAAAGATAAAAGATATAATTTAAACATTAAACCACGTTAAAATAACAAGGAATCTACTGCATAAAAAAACAATAAATAAATAAAAATATCACCTGTCTTCCAACTCGATCTTAGAATTAGGTTTTTTTGCTTGAATTACTATTCCCACGGCTCGAAGCCTCGTAGCACACCGCGTGAGTTCTTTCTTGGCTGCTTTTCTCTGGTACTGATCGTGTTCAACGGTGGACAAATGCATCAAGTTAAGTATGTGTGCTCCTCCTCCACCTTCCTTCTGAGGGTATCCAAAAGCTTCCCGCACGAGTTGCACAACGCGGTGATCGTTGTGGATAAGAGTGCCATCAGGGTGAGGAAACACCTTCCTATACAACGACTTGAGAACCACTAAGGGTATTTGATTCTCAAGCATTGTGATGTCGTTCATCACAGCCAACACTTTCTTCTTGTCTTCAAATATTGGATCACCCGAATAACCAGTACTCCTTGATGGGTCGGAAAGTTCAATCATGTAAGAGGCAAGCTTAAAGAGAAACTCCAGCACAAAGCAACCATCCACTATCATTAGTTTAGCCAATTCCTTGGGTTCCAATTCAGTGTTACCTCCATAGCTTGCCCTAACTGCATTATCTATCTGCAGAATTTGGTGGCCACAAGCTTCTATCCGAGACACTCGTCCTTCCCCTTGGTTTCTGTTCCGGTCAAGAAACTCACGCATGTAATGCCACTTGGTCTCTTCCATTAATTGGAGTTGTCTCGTGCTTCCACAGTGGATCGGTCCTATGGAAACCACTTTTGGCTTGAAGGCCTTGTCGTTTTGGTTTCTAAGCTCATCTGGAACGCTTGAAATGCTGCACGCTTGAACTTCGGCATGGTTTAGAGAACCTAACATCACTGTAATGGGAAACATCCAAGATTCGGGTTCCATATTGAAGTACAAAGTTATTAGGATGATGTGGAAGAGATATCTAGAACACGAACTAGTGGACTACGGGAAGGGATGGTTAATGGGGAGAAAACAACGGAGAAAAGAAAAATAAAGCTTTCACCGATTAGAATAATTTTTTAAGAGTGACTTTCTTTGGAGTAGAGTTGACTCTTTAGTTTATAATCTTAATACGAAGACAAATCACTTTTTTATTTTATTTTTATAGTTATAATAATTATATTAATCAATCCCACTAATCCTGAAAGTGATGAAACATTAAAAGTTTGATCGATAATGTAAACAACTCGATCTCCAGCTAATCGTACAAGTTGCAACATTAAAATATTTATTAAACAAGTCTTACAAGTTATCCAACAATTTTATTTTTTTAATGAGGAGTTATTTAACATTAAAAGATTCTTTTGTGTGTGTGAAAACATTAAAATAGTAGACAATGTGAATGTATAAAAGATGAAGGAAAGATCTGAATATAAAAAGGATAATTTTATTTTAAATTATGATACTTTAACATTAAATTAAAGTTGTAATTGGTTATAAGAAAATATGAATATTGTACTTGTTCGGAAAGTATTCATCTAAAGTTTTCGTTCTTTGACCTTGAGTCTTTGGTTTTCAGATTGGCGGTTATACTTGTAAAAAAATTTGAATGCTAAAATTAGTGGGTATTTGAAGTGTATAGTGTTACCTCAAGAATAAGTGTATCTTATGAAGGCTAAATGCATGTGTATATATAAGATAAGAAATGTTACCATTAGTCAAAGAAACATTAAAACGCATTCACGATCTTTTATTATTATATTAACGGTTGGACGTTACTATTTGCTAGACTTAATCCTAAAGTAGTAGTCCTTAATATTCCAAGGACTATTCGGATTGGGAATAGTCTCTGTTGGGCATTCCGATTAGTATTTGGACAATAACCATGATTCTTCCCTTAACAAGTCAATGATGGAAGCTAAGATGTCTTCAGTATGGATTCCAGGACCTATACAATACATGAGCCTCCAAGTCTTAGACTTATTAGGAGAAGAGTTAGTTTAGATGAATAATCTTTCCGACAGGAAAATTTTAATTTTCCTTTCTAAATTTGAATTTATTATTTAAATATGTCATCATTTCAGAACATAGCATTAGGGTCATTTCAGGGGTTTAATGATGGCAATTTTAGTTATTATATAACCTTCTGGAGACATGGTCCTAAAAGGACGTGGGAAGGTGAAGGGACACCTCTTCTCGTTTGTTGATCTTGATTAGTTCTGATAGTTCATAGGGATGCAACACTTCATCATCTACTGGAGCTCTTCAAGCCTATAAATAGTGATGACCCTTATCCTTCACAAAGAATTTCCTATCACCTATACTTTCTGATACACCAAGAACTTCTCATCATCCTGCCTTTTCTAAAGAAACCAAGAGTCGAGTTCCTATTAGGTACGTCTCCCTTCCTCCCTTTTTATGAGTTTAAGCAATAATGTAGAATTTCCATTTCTAGGTGGGATGGAAGTAAACATTATTTATTTAAGATCTTTTTCAAATTCTTCATCTAAATCTTCTCGAACCCTTTTCTTCTTCTACTTCCACTCCTATGATCCCTAGTGCTTTAATAGTTTCCATTAGGATGAACCCTCCTAGGCCAACTATTGAAGTAAACTCGACCACCGAAGTTGACCAGGCTAAGAACAAGGTGGTTGAACCGAGTGGAATAGTTCCTCCGAGGGATAATCCAAACTTACTACCCTCTTGTTGGTCATGGACCTTATTGCCCTCTTCTCAACCGACCAAAAGGCTTTGAAGAAGACTAGTCCCGAGGTTACACTAGCCACCTTTGGTGATTCGCAAGCTTGGTCTTGATTGCTTAGTATCTTGGACTAAGTTATGCAAGGTTGGTATCAATTTGAATGACATCAACAAATTAAAAAGTTGAGTTGGAAGAGAACCAAGCAAGTCTTTAGGAGACACTAAAGATGAATGGAGAGCAAACTTAAGAAGTCACCAAGTTGCAAAGTCAAGTTAGTGATCTTCACAATTGAGATTCTCATGCTAGAGATTATTTTCGACGTCTAGAGGAGGTAAACAACAAGTTGGCCACCAACTAGAAAAGTTTGAAGAGTCATCTATTGGAGATCACTAAATCTCGTGATGAGCAAAAGGTCTTGAAAGAAGTTGTTCAGACAGTCAAGAAGGAGGAAAAACTTCACATCTACAAGCAACATGTGACCAACTTCAATAAAGCCATCCAGCAAGCTTCTCACTTTTATAACATAAAGGACTTTCCAATTTTAATATAGATAAGAATGTCTACTAAGGGGAGATGGTAGATGTGGTAGATTTTTTAGATGGTTAGGGGTTTGATACTATTGCTAACATGCCAAACGCCTAAGTGGAGAATATTGAGAAGGTCTAAAAGAAGGCTGCAAAGGAGGAATCCACTAATGTTGTTGAAGAGCTGGTTAGTTAGTGTAGACATCGGATTTCATCCGGGTTACCCCTACCAAGGACGAAAGGCCACCAACATGATAAGAGGAGCCCTTGAAGGCCCAATAAAGCATTAAAATGGACCAAGACAACATCAGGAGGCCTAAAGGACTCGAAGCTAGGGTTTAGGGCATGGAACAACCATTCCTAACTAAAATTTAATATGGAAAACCCTAGTTGGGAACGACCCTACCAAAATCTGGAATGGTCGTTCCCAATAGAAAATTTGGCCTAAAACCCTAATTTGGAATGGTCTGTTCCCAAAACCCATTTGTGTGCAAATTTAGGGGCCAAAACGGTCGTTCCAATCTTGGGAACGACCTTTCCAAGCCTCTGGGTACCTATATAAGCGTGCCCAAGGCTTAGTCTTCCACACACACGATTCAGTTGACAAATTCTTGACAGAAAAACTCCCTTCTCTTCCTTTATACTTTCTTGAGTGTTTATGATGTCTTTGTAGAGCGAAAGGCTACCAAAACATGTCTCTATACCAACATTTGAGGATTCTTCTATAAAGCTTGCTTTAGAGGGGTTTTTATCAATTCTCTCTCTCTCTCTCTCTCCTTATTTATTTAATTGCTTTATTCGTAACATTATTTCCACGAGATAACCAACAATCATGTAGATAATAAGTATTTAAATGACTAATAAAAAGGGGTAAATATTCAATCATTGTTTATTATTATGCTAAACTCGTCGTAGGGTACCAAGTTAGGGCATTGTGTGGTGTCTAATATCTTTCCTACGCATAACAGACTCGAACCTATAATTATGGATATGAAAACCATTATTAATTTTTGAAAACCTTTTCCTTTTTCTGATGTTTTGAGTAAAGGATTGGTTTGATCTTTAGACAATCCTAAATTGATAAGATTTTCAAAATGAAGTTCAAACAATTTGTGGGTAAGATCAAATTTTTTTTATAGTTCCGACAATTAGCTTGTTGTAGGGGGCTAGAAGTTCCCAATAACTTCTTTTCTTATAATTTTTAAACTTTGCAATTAATGAATTTTACATTCTTGTTCATATATGTACCTTTATTTTACATTTCGTGCGCCAAGATTTACATTTAACAAAATGTGGCAAAGAACGCTTACTTGAGCAAGGTCTTCAAGTACCAATATTTTATACTTGGATTTTTTATTTTACTTGGCCAAGGTCTTCATGTACGAAGATTTTATACATGTGTTTGTTTTATTTTATTTGGTTAAAATCTTTTACTTGTCCAAGGTCTTCTAATACCAAGATTTTGTACTTGTGTTTTTTTTATTTTATTTGATCAAGAACTTTTAGTTGGCCAAAGTCTTAACGTACCAAGATTTTATACTTGGATTTTTTATTTTACTTGGCCAAGAGATTTTACTCGGTTAAGGTCTTTATGTAGAAGCAATGAATACTTTATTAATGATATTGGTGTGCCTCATTAAAATCTCCCTAGCCAAAACTCTTTATTTTCTATGGAAAAAAGATCGATAGTAGAAAAGAGTACAACACCTCATTACATGTTTCATACGTCAACTATAATAAAACTTTTAATGGGATGCATTCCAGATTCTCCAAGTTTCCTACTTGGAAAGATATTTGAGCTAGTATTCTCCATTATTTAGACTTTGAGTAACTTTGAAGGGTCCCTAATTGACCGAGAACTTTCCTTTTGTCCCATCCTTCCTATTTTCGCATTAAACCCTCCATACCATGTTTTCTTCTTGGAATTCCCTCTTAACTAGATGAGAAACATGTCTTTGGTTCGCCCTTTTGTGACTTGCTTCTTGACGTATCCATACCCAATCCTAGAAAATGTTTATCAAAATAAGTTCAATTCAAAGAGAAGAATTGTCATCTTTATTATGGAAAATTCTTATAGGGGAAGCCCCTTATTTCTACTGGTAGAATTGCATCAATACCAAAAGTCAAATGAAAAGGAGTTTCTTGAGTTGTACGTGGAGTGCATTTGTAAGCCTATAGTACTTCCAACAACTATTCGACCCATTTTCCCTTTGCACTTCCAAGTCTCTTCTTTAATTCACCCGATATAACCTTATTGGCAGCCTTAGCCTAACCATTCATTTGGGGATGCTCGACAGACAAAACCTGATGTTGTTTGTGGAGTCCTTTCAATGAAATTTTATGTTTTATATATGTGAATTGCATATCATTGTCAGTTACAATAGTCTTTGAAATTTTGAAACGAAAAATAATATTATTCTTAATGAAATTTTATACATTTTTTGTTGTGACCCAAGTAAGTTGGTTACTTTTATCCACTCGGTGAAGTAGTTGGTTGCTATCAACACAAACTTGCATTGAGCCTTAGTAGGAGGAAAAAGACCTTAAATGTCTATACCCCACATTGCAAACAACCATGGGGATACCATATCGAGGAGGGACTAAGAGGTAGTATGCATGAGATTCCTATGTTGTTGGAAAGGGATATACTTCTTAACATGCTCAAGTGAGTCTTATTTAATGGTCAGCCAATAGTACCCAACCTTGAGTATTTGGGCTACCAAAGACCTTCCCCTAATGTGTATGTCACATACTTCTCGATGCAACTCTACCATGATGTACTTGACTTGCTATTTGGTGATACACT